CCAGTCTGTTTCAGCTTCCCCAGTGTTGCTGTCTTTCCCCAGTGAGTGGTTACTTATTATGGCGACTTCATTATAATCAAGTCACTAACTTTTTGTTCTTTTCTTGGACCATTTGTTTAATTCTACCACTAAACTTGTAAATCTGAAGAAGAAAAAAAATAGTCATACATAAGTCTATCAAGAACATTGGATTTCCTTGGAAAAGATCTTCTTTGGTAGCTAAGTCTTCTTGTGGTTGGTTTTTGAAATAAAATAGAATGTTAAAAAAAACTGATTAAAAATTGATGGGTTACCTCCCATCCAGGGCTTCTTTTACGTCAGTAGCTTGTCGCTTAATGCTCAAAATAAGTCAGGCGCAAGGGCTACCCTAAAAAAAATTATGTGTCCATTCCCTTATGAGCTCCACCACCCTTTTCTCCCATCTTGTAGCATGCCTCTAGATCATCCCATGTTGGTTTCCATTCATATGCATTAAACACTACTTTCTTCTTACTAAATCAAAATTAATACTCCGATTTCCATATCTACCTTTTCCTTTCCAGTTGCCAAAAATGGTCGTCCAAGAATCACAGAACCTTCCAAATAGTTTATCATGTTAATCACCACAAAGTCTGCGGGGAAGGTCAAACCATTGACATGAACTAACGCATCTTGTACAATACCAAATGGTTTAGTTTCAGATGAATCAGCCATAGTAAGCATCATGTCGCTTGGCTTTATCTATTCTATATTCATCTCCTTGTACTTGCTCAGCGGCATGACATTGATGCTTGATTCCTAGTCATATAAAGCATGTGGGATTCTTACTCAACCAATGATGCACGCAATGTTGAACTCTCCTTGATCCGTCATCTTTTGTGGCCTCTCCAAAAGTTCTATCTTCTCAGTTTTTCTGTCAGTTTCACATGTGCTTAAATTAACTTCTGCTTTCCACCTTTTAGCAAGACCTGCATAAACTTAGCAAACTTTGGAATCAAGTCTAAAATTTCATGAAAAGAGATACTTACCTGAAGTTGTTTTAGCATTTTTTTTTGAATTTTTCAAACACCCCAACATGATTTTTAGGTACCCGTTTCCTTGTAATAATTGGGTAAGGTGGTTTCACTTAAGAGGGTAAAGTTAGGTTTGGTTCACTCAATTTTTTTTTTCTTTTGTTCTTACCCCTAAGGAGTTTTCATTTATGCCTCGCTCAAGTGTAACTTTCCCTTTTTCTTGGTTCCCTTGAAGTCCTTTCTCCTTTATATCACTTTCACCTTTCTTATTCTTAATTTCATTCTTTTTCACTTTTTCAACCTCATTACCCTTGGCCACTACACCCAAATCGGTCCTCATCACCTTACATGTTTCCTTCTTAGGATTAACTACAGTGTTACCTGAGAATCCTCCACTTGAACTTGGGAAGGTCGTGAGTTGCTTTGACAATTGCCCAATTTGTGTCTCCAAATTTTTGATGGAGGCATCATGATTTCTGCTCATGGTCTCATGATTCTTATTCACCTGTTCCAAGCTAAGTTGAGTGGCCTTCATGAAATTTTCCAAGGTCTCTTCCAATTGTGAAGACTTTCTTTGGTAATTTGGAGCTTGTCGATTTTGTTGCATCGCTTGGTTACCACTTTAATTTTGATTAGTGCTCTAACAAAAGTTTGGATGATCTCTCCAGCCTAGATTGTTAGTATTGGAAATTAGCATATTGAGCTTCTTCACTTGACCCTTCCAATGAGAACTTTCCGTTCTCATGTCCTTCTCCATAAAAATCAAGCCTAAGTGCCTGTACCTGACCATGTTAGCTTGATTTAAGCAGCTTACAGCTAGCTGCTTAATTAACAATTTGATTTGAGCTAATAAAGTCGTTTGAATGTCAACAGTTAATATACCTTTGGGTGTACATACCGTTTCAACCTTTACCGATCTTTCACTCTTTGTGCGGTATTCATTCATGTACATTTTATGAATTAAGTCCTTGACTTGTGGCTCGATTATTGCTTAATTGTGTCTCCCATGGAAGCATCCAACAACATGCGTGTCTGGCTCTTTAGACCTTTGATGAAACCTTGCATTTGCTCCATATTATGCTTGAATCTCTCCCACGAGTCAAATAAAATCTCCGGATCTTGTTGCTTAAAATTCAAAATCTCAGCCCTTCGTTCAGTAAACTGGGTGGTGGTAAAATATCTTTCTAAGAACTTGTCATCCAGCTCCTTCCATGTTTGAATTGTTCCATTTAGAAGGCATACTAACCAATCTTTTGCCCTTCTAATAAGCGAGAAACCAAAAAATCGCAACTTCACTTGATCATCAGTGACATTATCCGACTTGCACATCAAAGCGGTTTTGTAGAATCGTGCAAGGTGCGCCCACAGATCTCTAATAGCATTCCCATTGAACTGATTGTCTCTTAGACTTGAAAGCACAAAATTTTTAATATCAAAATTAGCAGGGTCTGCCGGTACAAACCATCTAGAAACTTAACCATCATCGGTCTTTTTGCAGTAATCCCCCATAGTTGGGAGTTGTTTGAGCAACCATGTTATTCTCGTCTTCTGAATTCGAATAAATTATTGGTGGATCTACTTCGATTTGGTCTTTGTCAGCCAAAATTGCTTATCTAGTTGCTTTTCTAAGGGCACATGCAATTCTTTCAATTTCTGGATCGAACGGTAGTAATGTCGATCTTGAATTGCGCATACACACAAAAAAGATATCTTAGTAGTACTATGTTAAACAAGAAAACAAACAAAAGGAATAAAACAAAATTAAAATAAAAACAAAATAAGAAAAATATGTTGCACAAAGCGTTGCCCTATTGCAATCAACAGTCCCCAACAACAACGCAAAAACCTTGATGACTTCTTGGAAAGTGTACCAATAATATCATAGTAATAAAAAGATCAAACCCACAAGGACTGTGTTCAAACAGAACAATGATTTGTGCAATATTAACTAAGAACAGTAAAAGGGGGGGGGGGGGGGGGGGTGAGGGTTGCAGGTTTTAGTGCAAAAAGAGATTTAAACGAGAAGCTATGTTATGAAGGCGGTAAGGTTGTGTTTCAGAATCCCTTTATCCCCTCTTGTTGATGTACGATACCTTGTATGAATTAAATTAGCCTTATAATTTTACGGCGAACTAACAAAATTGTTATGGTCAGTCCCCCACGAAATAACTCATAACAACTAATAGAAGGATTCTATCCCTAGTCCGTCGGCATAAACAGTGTTAGGCATTGTATAGACCGTTAGTTCCTTGTGTCACTACTCGAGGTATTATATCCTTATTCAACCGGCTTAGGTAGAACAGTTTCCCTAGATCCAATACATAGGCTACGGGTTGGAAATTCCTATGCATCTAACATCATATTAACAGAGTATCTCAAATAATACACATTAAGCAAAAGGAACTATTGAATAAAATTATAAGTCAAAAGGTTCATACAAAGTCAAACTGCCATATAATGCTAACAAGATTGAATAAAGTTCATCACACACAAACTAACCTAGGAGAATTTAGCTACTCATGATAAAATTACACTACCAATTGATAAAAGATGAATAACATGTGAATTCCCTTGAAGGATTGACCTCCAGTGGCTTCCAATGCTCTCAAAATCACCCTCTGATGCTGTAAAATCGTACTCCTAGTGCCAAATTTTGTAACCCTTGTAAAAGTGCAGAAAATCCCCTTTTAAAGCTGTCAAAACGGGTTAGAACGCGTCAGAAAAGTCCAGAAAAAGCTATCATCGCGCACACTATAAAAGCATCGTGCACACGACGGTCCTTTTGAAACTCTATCGCGCACACGATAACATACGATGCTACGCGTGATTATTCCAGTAGCTGCATGTTTTTCACCCTTTTTTCACCAAAATTTTCACTAAGTCTCATTCTTCCATACTTGACTCTTTTTCACCCATTCTTGGGACTTTCTTCATCATTTTGCCTCTTTTTTTTTGCTCGTTTTTCCTCGATTCTTCGATTGATTTTATGTAATGACGGATTACCATCAATGGTGATTTATAGTATTTGGATCAAACTCCAGTCTTAACAAGGGGGATTCAACTAGATCAAATGTGCATGTTGTAGTCGAAATTTGTTCAAACATGCAGTGATCTATGTTAGTTATGTATTATGTTATATAAGAGTTATGTATGTCATGTATGAGAGTTATCATCATACATAACATACATATGCTAATAGTCTATATATAGACGGACTCTCTCACTTGTTAGAGAGAATATTGGTTGTTGTTATTCACTTGTAATCTTTTAACCTTGATTGAGAAAGTGAATAGAAAAATAGTTATAACCAATTCTATTTCTTCTTCTTCCCTCTTCTCTCGCCTTCGTAATATTAAATCATTTCTTAATTGTTCCACAAACTATCTCTTTCTTAAAGATTTACATCGTTAATTAGTATCGCTTATTACAACAAAATCTTTAAGGATCATCATACGCTAAACGAAATAATTAAACGACTTACTTCCCCTTTACACTATGTTACATATTTAAACATCAAATAACAAAACTCTTTAATAAAGTTTCTACTTTTGCATTGATTGTGTAACCAAAAAAAACTATTTTAAATTTTAAAGAAATGATGAGTTTACTTGAATAAAAAAAATATTGGGAAAAAAAGATGAACCTCTTAAATTGAGCACAATATATTATTATATCTCTATGAAATGGAATATCCTTAGAATCAAAAGTATTTTTTGGAATCACATGAAGACTGTGACATATAGTTACGAGAGAGGTCATAATAACTTTTCTTTTTACACCGCACAACACTTCATGCAGTGTGAAAAGGACACAAATCACTGCTTTTTTCAATGAGAAAAATACAAACTATAGCATCCACGTGTTGCTTCATTGTAGGATCATAATCATTTTCACTCGCTACAATAGTGATGATTATCATCGTTTCTCCGTGTGTTGATTCATTTCAGTTTCACTGTTAAAAGACTACACTAATCGGCGTTCTTGCTCAGAGTTGTTTTTGTTCACACAATGACGGATACTACGGATGATATTGCGGAGGAAATCTCCTTTCAGAGCTTCGATGATGATTGTAGGTTGCTTGGTAATCTTCTCAACGACATTCTTCACCGTGAAGTTGGTACCTCTTTCGTTGATAAACTCGAAAGGATTCGAGTTCTTGCTCAGGTTTCTTTTTGTGAAAAAACGCAACTTTTTTCTTTTTTTTCATACCCCATTTTGTTTATTTTAGATGGGATTTTCTTGTTTTGCTTTTTCTTTCATTTTTTTTCGGTTGGGGTTAATGGGGTTTTGGTGGTTTTTGGCAGAGTGCATGTAATATGAGGCAAGCGGGTATTGTGAACATGGGTGAGATACTTGAGAAGCAATTGGCTTCGGAGTTGTCAAAGATGACGTTACAAGAAGCTTTCACTCTTGCTCGTGCTTTCAGCCATTATCTTACTATGATGGGTATAGCTGAAACTCACCATAGGTAATCTTCATCCATGGGTACACTAAATCTTTGTTTGAATCAACTTATTTGAGCTTATCTACTAACGAAAATGATTTTGAGACTATTTGGGAGAACATGTGAAAACAGGTTATGCTAGAAATAGCTTAGGCATAAACACTTATCTTAAGCCCTTATGCTATAAGTTGCAAATTTATCTGTTTTTTCAAATGGTCTAACACAAAATTATTAGTTTTTAATTAGTAGTATGTAGTACATTCCAAATTACATTATTCATCTATGAAGCAGTGACATTGATACGAACACCGGACATGATACTGACACTGAGATGTCGAGACTGGTAATAATTTGAAAAGTAAATAAATTGAATGTAAATCATAAGTGTTGGTGACGTGTCGGTGTCGGTGTCCAACACAGACCCAGACACGAACACGCCGTTTTTAGAGGTGTTAATGCTACACAGATATTTATTCGTGTACTATGTAGAAGTAATGGTATTCTCTTATGCATAAATTGTGTCGTTGCAGGGTTCGTAAAGGAGGGAATATGGCACAAATTTCAAAATCTTGTGATGATGTGTTTAACCAGCTTGTGCAGGGTGGAGTTTCCCCCGATGACCTTTATAACACAGTCTGCAAGCAGGTTCTTGTTTTGTTCTTCCATTGTCATTATAATTATAATGCTTTTCCCTTCCATATTTGAAAATTGTGGAATGCTAAGTTTTGGATACTTGATTATATTCTTGTTTATTTGGATTGCAATGTCTATATTGCTGGTGTTTCAATTGGTAATGCAGTTCTAGAGTTCCAGTTTCTTTAACATTAAGAATTTCATTTTTTAATTTCTGTTGCTTCAGGAGGTTGAAATTGTTCTCACAGCTCACCCCACACAAATTAATCGCCGTACGCTTCAGTACAAACACATTAGAATCGCGGTGAGTTGTTTTTTTTTACTTTCTTTGGCCATTGTAAAGATTCCAATGGTTTGAAGTTTTTCAAATTCAAATAGCATATAAGCATTTGTCTAACTACTTTTCCCTCTCATCGTGTAGCATCTCTTGGATTATAACGACCGCCCTGATCTTAGCCCTGAAGATCGAGAAATGCTGATTGAAGATCTGGTACATCTGATCTACTGGATTTTCACTCTAGAAACTATCTGTTTAACTATTAAGTGGAGTTGTTTCTCATGTGCTATATCAATATGGTAGGTGAGAGAGATAACTTCAATATGGCAGACAGATGAGCTTAGGCGCCAAAAACCCACTCCGGTTGATGAAGCCAGAGCTGGTAAGCTTCTTGAGTATCAAGTAGTATTATATATATCGGGTTTTCTGGTACACGGGAAACGAAAAATAACAATTTGTCATATAGTAACATTTTTTATTTTATCTTCGAAGGTTTGAATATAGTGGAGCAATCACTCTGGAAAGCTCTTCCTCATTATTTGCGCCGAGTCAGCAATGCTTTAAAGAAGGTCTATCATCTTTACTTCTCGGTCAATTAGCTGCATTTAAAAAAAAAAGATTTTCAATACAATCTATCCTCCATTGTGTTGCAGCATACAGGAAAGCCACTTCCACTGACTTGCACTCCCATAAAGTTTGGAACTTGGATGGGAGGTGATAGAGATGGAAACCCAAACGTGACGGCAAAGGTGAGCTTTTCTAACATCCATCCAAGTGCAAACTATCGGTGTTTTTTCTTTTTATGAATAATAATGAATGCGGTAAATTGTAATGTAATGATATTCTTATTGTTGTTTTCGTGTGGTGGCGGCAAGATATTCTTTTCTGTTTCACTTGATGAAATCTGTTGTCTGGAATTAAATAATATCATCAAACCAATTGAGTTTTGTACAATTTCTGGGTTGGGTAAATGGTTTGCATTTTGTTCCTCAGGTCACAAAAGATGTTTCACTTCTATCAAGATGGATGGCAATTGACCTCTATATTCGGGAAGTGGATAGCCTCAGATTTGAGCTATCTATGAATCGGTGCAGCGATACTTTGTCAAGATTGGCACATGAAATCCTAGAAGGTTTGTCTGTTGAACTTTATTTTTGTCGAAATACTTCCTAATGTCATTGGACTTAGCTGTCCATTTTGTCTACTATAATGTGACTACCAAACTCTGTCAAAAGTAACAGAGATTTGGTTTCTTCAATGTTAGTCCAGTTCAATCTCGTTACTTTGATTTGGAAGATATCATATAAGCAACAACCATAAATATTCTCTCTAAAGCCGGTCACTAACTTCTTCCTCGACAGGAGCTAAAGATGAGAATCGTCGTGAGAGTTGGAATCAATCAATGAATAGAAGTCAGTCACTTCCAACACAACTTCCAGCTAGAGCTTATTTACCCTCTTTTGCTGGTACATATAAAAGTTTTGATTATTTCTCTCTAGTTATTTGAGTGTACCATATGAATATTTTGATTTTTTGATGTTCGTTCGACACTCTAATCATAAGCATAATTTGTATTTTATTACGTATGAGGAATGATGAGGGTGTATTTAATTCATTACATTCTTTGATATAGCAAATGGTGAATCACAGCATCCTAGACTAGACATTCCAGGACCTGACCACAAGGTAGATCGATTTCGTGATTGTGGCTTGCAGTTCTGAATTCTTCTAGTATGCTAGATAATGTATATTTTTTTCATTGGCAGGATGTTGGGATTTCTCCAAACTTAGCTACAATCAGAACTGGCAATCCTAGTATTCAAGTATCACAAAAAAGTTCAGAAAATTCCAATGCTTCTTCAGCTTCGATTCCATCTTCTCCTTCTCTCATCTCCAGTCAACCGCTTTCTCAGAGGAAATTGTTGGCAGAATCCCAAACAGGAAAGTCTGGTTTTCAGAAGCTTTTAGAGCCACAGCTCCCTCAACTTCCTGGTATTGCTCCTTATAGAGTTGTCTTGGGAAATGTAAAGGATAAGGTATTGCTTCAGATTGATTCCGGTGCTGAGTACTTAAAATCACATATTTTCGGTTTAGATATAGCAACTAGCAATTTGAGTTTAAAATCACCATTCAAATAAATGCATGAAATTTGTGTGTTCAGCTTGAGAGAAGCCGTAGACGGTTAGAACTTCTTCTTGAGGATGTTACATGTGACTACGATCCTTTGGATTATTATGAAACAGCTGACCAGCTTTTGGAACCTCTGCTCCTTTGTTATGAATCTCTGGTACTCTTACTCATTCCCTCTTTTTCCTTAACGGTTTGTCTACACTCCACAATTGCTATTTAACCTTCCGTGTCTTCAGCAATCATACGGATCCGGGGTGCTAGCTGATGGTCGACTTGCTGATCTGATTCGTAGAGTTGCTACCTTTGGAATGGTTCTAATGAAGCTTGACTTGCGCCAGGTCTGGTTTATATTTCATGTTTATCATTGCTTGAGTAATCAACTATGTCCTGAAACTAGCCGGATTTCAGGAATCGGGGAGACATGCTGACACGCTTGATGCAATTACAACGTATTTGGATATGGGTACTTACAGTGAGTGGGATGAAGAAAAGAAATTAGATTTCTTAACCAGAGAGCTGAAAGGGAAGAGGCCACTAGTTCCTGTTAGTATAGAGGTGAGACAGTTGAGATTTTTCACCTTTTATACAATTTACTGAGTCTTGACTAGTTATATTACCACCGTTGTGAGCTATTTCTGATTGGTATCTTGATTTTTTTAGGTTCCTGCTGATGTTAAAGAAGTCTTGGATACATTCCAAATAGCTGCTGAATTAGGGAGTGATTCCCTTGGAGCTTATGTGATCTCTATGGCCTCCAGTGTATGACTAATTGCTACCATTCTTAAATTACGCTTTGACTACCATTTGTGCTAAATCATTAATCAATTTTAGATTCCAGTTATTATTGGAATCTTATGGACTTTTGCTTTAATATCAGGCAAGTGATGTCCTTGCAGTAGAGCTTTTACAAAAGGATGCACGGCTTGCTGCTACTGGAGAGTTGGGAAGACCATGTCCTGGTGGAACGTAAGTAGGAAACCTTAAGTCGAACTTATCTGTCTTTCAATTAGTTTGATCGAAATAGTGCTTTAAGATGAAAAAAATTACTTGTCTATTATGTTTGTATTGTGAATATTTGAATCTTATGACATGTTTACAACAGGTTGCGGGTTGTCCCTCTATTTGAGACCGTGAAGGACCTAAGAGAAGCTGGTTCAGTTATCAGGAAACTTTTATCAATAGACTGGTACCTCGAACACATCATTAAGAATCACAACGGTCATCAAGAGGTACCTTTTTAATCCGAGGTGCGTTTGATTTTATGTTACGGTTATCACGTGAAATTCATTTGATAGTGTTATAAATCTGTATATGCAGGTTATGGTTGGATATTCTGATTCTGGTAAAGATGCTGGTCGCTTCACTGCTGCATGGGAACTTTACAAAGCTCAAGAAGATGTTGTAGCCGCTTGCAATGATTATGGTATTAAAGTTACATTGTTCCATGGCCGTGGAGGCAGTATTGGCCGGGGTGGTGGCCCTACATATCTGGCTATTCAATCCCAACCACCCGGATCTGTGATGGTAGGTTACGCAATTTAACTTGATCATTGTTAGTTTTTTTTTTCTTTCTAAAAATGTTTGGCTTGATGAGAAGGGTATGAGGGGACGGCGGTTGTAAAATTTTCCCATGGTGCATTGCAGGGAACACTTCGGTCTACTGAACAGGGAGAAATGGTAGAGGCCAAATTTGGATTACCACAGATAGCTGTTAGACAACTTGAAATATACACAACTGCGGTACTACTCGCAACTCTTCGTCCACCTCTCCCACCCCGGGACAAAAATTGGCGTAATCTCATGGAAGAAATCTCAGAGATCAGTTGCCAGTGTTACCGCAATGTAGTCTACGAAAATCCAGATTTCCTTTCCTACTTCCACGAAGCCACGCCTGAAGCAGAACTCGGCTTCCTCAACATAGGTAGCCGTCCGGCAAGAAGGAAGAACACGAGGGGAATCGGAAACCTACGTGCTATTCCCTGGGTATTTGCATGGACTCAAACCAGATTTGTTCTTCCAGCATGGCTCGGAGTCGGAGCAGGTTTGAAAGGTGCTTGTGAGAAAGGTCATAGTGAAGAACTAAAAGCAATGTACAAAGAATGGCCTTTCTTTCAAAGTACAATTGACCTTATCGAGATGGTGTTAGGGAAAGCAGACATTACTATAGCCAAGTACTACGACGAAGCTCTTGTGTCAAAGGAGAGGCAAGAACTCGGTCACGAGCTAAGAAATGAGCTCTTGACAGCTGAGAAGTTCGTGCTTGTGATTAGTGGCCATGAGAAACTTCAGCAGAATAACAGAAGCTTGAGGAGGTTGGTTGAGAATAGGCTTCCATTTCTCAATCCTATGAACCTGTTGCAGGTGGAGATTCTCAAGAGGTTAAGGCGCGATGACGACAACCTCAAACTCAGAGATGCTTTACTTATCACTGTAAATGGAATCGCTGCGGGGATGAGGAATACCGGTTAAGGTTGCTTTTCAACAACTATAATAAATGCACACAACTTTCAGAACTAATGATGAGTAGTTTATTTCATGTTACGTTTGCTCAGTAAAGATTGGTATTAGCCATAATGGTAAATGGTTGGTTTTGAACACAGAAGATGCATTATAATGTTAGATTGTGATGTAAAATTAAGCTTTTTATGCATTTTGGTACCTACATAGTTGATGATTAATATCTTCTAATTTTTCTTCTTAATTTATGTGGACAATGAAATGAAAATTGCGGCAACATCAGTCAGAAACTAAGGAGCTGTTTCAACTCTCAAGTGATTTTTCCTAAAATGCAGTGCTTGAGAGTTGAGATAATGAATCTTGGACGATGTCAGAGGGGGTGCAATCATTATCAGAAGTAAAGAGATCCTGATAGAAAAAGATAGTGTTGCAAAATGTCTTTAGCCTTGTCAAGAATTTGATCATTCTGCCAGAGTATTGAAATTTGCTGAGATACTTGACCAATCCTTGTAATTCTATGAAACAAACTTTTGTTTTCTATTCCCCTTCACGCACCATTGAACCCTAGACTCATCTCTCCAATGTTTTTCCTACAAATTAAGGGTATTATTGAGATTAAAGTTAACTAATAGACTAAACTAGAAAGTGAATCAGTACTCTCAAGTAATACATTAAATTTGTTTTCATAGAAATTGTAAATTTAACTAGGTAAAATAGTGTGATTTAAAAGAAACAATTGGGGTTTTCAATGGTGTTTGGTTCGCAAACAAGAACGAGAGAATAAACGGAGAAAATTTGGTAATGAAAAGCGATTGGATTTGTACTTGTTAAAAAGTATAGATGTGTGTTCCTTCTATAAAGGTAGAGAACTCAGAGACCTTAGTAAGTTTATAATAATTTAGGGGTGGTAAGGGTTTGTCCATGACGGTGAGAAGTCCTATATAGTAATATTTCGCGGTGGTTTTAGGAGTCCTACTCACATGAGGTGAGATGTTCTGTCCATGGATGATGGACTTGTAGTGAGTGTACAAGGATATGATGAGTGTGTGTAGTGATCTGGCTAAGCGTTATACTTAGGTTGTAATGACTTATCCTTTCTCCCGTTAGTGGAGAGGTATTTATAGAGACTTCCCGGCCCTAGAATTTGGGTAACCTTTAGTGGCGAAAATCGCTCCTTATGATTAGGAGAAGATATTGATCACCTAACCTTTCGGGAGTAATGATGGACTTTCCCTTCTTGATTAATGGCTTTACATGGCATGGTTGTCGAGGGCATTTTAAAGAGGGAAATTAATTTTTTGAGGGAATTTAAAATGACTTGATCAAAATCTATTTTTAGATAAAAATATATGGAGAACTGTCAAAATAATGTAAATTTATAAAATATTTTATTCAAGTTAAATTTAAGAAATTTCAAATAACATCAAAAAGTAAAAAATTGAAATTGTTCATTCACTTTATATAATGTGGATGCTAAATTGTTTATTACTACCTCTGTTCCTTTATATAAGAGACAACTTATTTTTTTAGGTTCATTGAATAATTAATATACTTGGTCAGTTTATAAATTAGATATATTGATTATTCAATTACCTAAAAAGAGAGTCATCTTTTATATAAAGGAACGAATGTAGTATCAATTTTTTAAATTTTACAAGATGATTCTTATATTTTATGAAAATTTTAAATTCACTCCCAAAATCTTCAAAAATTGCTTATAAGTCCATAATAATTTTTAAATTTTACACATTGGTTCTTCAAGTTTTTCAAAAATTACATATTAGTCCCTATCTTTTATATTTTAAATTTGGTCCAAAAATTTTAAAATTTATGAAAATGACTGGAAAAATTTAACAATGAATCATTTTGATACTTTATCTAAACAATAATTTTAAAATGAATAGATTTAAATTGAATCATTTGAATTGCTTAAAATTTTGAATTTCTTAAAAATTTTCAATTATCTCATCCAAACACACTTTAAGGTTTTAGATTAATATGTGGTGTCTCCCTCAATTGTGTGATTGCTTCTAAAAAATTTGATGTGATGATCTTTAAATTCCCTCATGACTCAACATAAAGTTAACATTTTTTCTTTAGCAACAAATTCATCAAAGTTTACAAAATTAGAGACACTCCTTTTAATACTTTCTACAACCTTCAAAGTTTGGTCGTCCTTTGACACGGGAACTCGTTTTGGACAAAATATTTATCATTGACTTGAGAATTATTGCTTATTTTTTTCTCTCATTATTAACTTCATGATCATGAGAGCAATTGTTCTCATTATTAGACACATGGTCATTATCATTGTTATCAGCGACTGATTAATATTCTCATTTTAGATGATGTGAAAAATGACTAATCCAACACACTAGGAATTTGTTATATATGACAAAGAACAATGACAATCAAAACTAATCAGTATGCCATAAAAAGAATGTTGTAACAAACTCCGCATTATTAATGAATAAAATTATGGGAAAGATTGAGTTCCTCGAACAAACACAAGAAACCCTTTTAAGGTTTACAAAAGAGAGAGAAGAGGGAAAAAGAAGAACAAGTATTGGTTAAAACCAATTTACTATTTACTTTCACAATTAGGGAAAATTGTTTACAAGCAAATATCAACCAACCTTAGCCCATCTCTCAACAACCTAAGAGAGTAACTTATTTATAGACCACAAGCTAACTTAAACCCTTAGATAACTTAAGCACTAAGCTAACGTAAGTAACAAGCTAACTTATACAACTACATACTTAAATAGACTTCGACTACATCACGCACATCTTCGACTTCTCTCGAAACATAAAAGCTATCCTTGTCGAAACTAGAGTTTGATACAGAATACCACAAATCTCCACCTTGGATTAAACTCTACAACATTGAGGAAATACACTAGCTTTCATCATGCAGCTTTATCAACTGCGTATAGTGGAAAAACTTGCGACTTGGCAATGACTTTGTGATCATATCTGCAGCATTCTGATCTGTCGAAACCTTCATCACTTTGAACTTTCCATTTTCAATTTTATCCCTAACAAAATGCAACCTAACATCAATGTGCTTTGTTCTCTCATGATAGGCTGAATTCTTTAACAAATGTATGACACTTTGACTATCACATTTAACAGTGATAACTTGACCTTGAAGTTTCAGTTCCTTAACAAACCCTTCAAGTCACAATGTTTCTTTCACAACCTCAGTGATGGCAATATATCCGAGTAGTTGATAAGGAAATAACCTTCTAAAGAAAGGTTTTCCAAATAATTATTGTACAAGATGCTATTCATATAGGCTTTTCCGACTTCAGTACTAGAATTTTGAGTCGTACTCAACTTGAATTGAGGATTTATCGGTGTTACAACAGGATTTGAATTCAACATGCTAAAAGTGTTGAAAATCTTCTGCAGCATGTCTCTTGACATAAGCATATTCTCGAGTGTTTTCTATCTCTCCGGATGTCAATTCCAAGAATCCTAGAGGCAACTCCCAGATCCTTCATGTCGAACTCCTTATCGAGTTATGCCTTCACCTTTACTACATCATCGACACTATTTCTCGCTATGATGATGCCATCCATATAAAGCAAAAAAATAACAAGTGAATTTCCAGGTCGAAATCTAAAGTAAATACAGTGGTCGAATTGGCTCCTAGTGAAACCTATGTGTGCCATGAACTTGTCAAATCTTCTATTCTATTGTTGAGGGGATTGTTTTAGGCCATACAAAGACCTATTCAGCTTATACACCTAATCCTCCTTGCTCTTTTCTGCATACCATTCAAGTTGCCTCATTAAGATTATTTCATCTAGATCACCATATAGAAAGGTTGTCTTTACATCCATTTGTTCAAGTTCTAATTTGATCTTTGTCATCATGGCTAACAACATTTTAATGGATATATGCTTTACAAAAGGTGAGAACACGTCACTCTTTCGATTCCTTCCTTGACCTTGAAAATCCAATTATAGCTGAATAACATGGCTCCAACAGGTTTCTTGGTCAGGTCCCAAATGTAGTTATCATGAAGAGATTTCATCTTATCATCCATGGCTTTCAGCCATTCAGCCTTATTGTCAATCCTCACAACTTCCTTGTAGTCTATCGGTTCTTCATCAAGAACCTCACTTGTAGAGATTAAGGTGAATGCTATGAGATATGCATAATCAAGTCTCTAAGGTGGCTTGATGACTCTTCTTGATCTGTATCCTTCTAGTAAGTAATCATTATCAGTCTCCTCATCTTCATCAGTAGCTTGTGTTTCTTCTCCGACTTCATCTGGGTTATATAATTTAACATCTCTATGTTCCACCATAACAAGAATCTCTTCCTATTCCAGATCTTCTTCAGAGATCTCTACATTTCAACCATCATCATCAATTTTCTTGAACTCCATTTTTGCTTCATTGAAAACTATATCTTGGCTTGTGATACATCTCCCGTAACCCAGGTTTGGGAACCATAGTTTCTAAGCTTTGACTCCTTCCGAGTATCCAAGAAACATACATCTCAGAGCTCTATTTTCGACCTTATTTGGCCTAATGTGAGCATACGCTAAACAGCCAAATACTCTAAGTCTGTTGAGATTAGGTGGATGTCTCAACCAGAATTCTTCATGTGTCTTCATCCCCAAGGCAATCGAGGGACACCTATTTATCCGGTACGCTGCAGTCACAACAACCTCAATCCAAAACAACACTACCACGGAAAACCCATTTAATAGCGGTTGAGAACGATATATAATCACGCGAGCCCTGACGTTGTTATGTAGAGTGTCGTTGTATATATGATACTTACAATCACGGCCTAATAACCGTTGTAATAAACTAGAAAGCGCGCACCCTATCATAACGGGTTTTCCAAAAGACCGTTGTGATAAAAATAATGGTCCTAGGTTCAACTCTCAGCTGCACCATTTTGATATTTATTTTTTGGACAGCGCGCGAGATGTTATAACGGTTATGATATATAACCGTTGTTACATTTTCTGCATAATTAACAAATAGTAT